ACCTTATTTCGGCAACTAGTAATAGATGAAACAGAGTGAACTTGATTCTCCTTATTCTGTACACCTCTTGTATTCTGAAGACAGAGCTGTGAAAACATTGATTTAAGACTATTGCATTCCTTAAGTCCCGACTGAATTGAGTGAGCTTTACCCTGCAACAAAATGCTAATTTAGGAGCTACATCAACTTAACTGCAGTAATAGGCCGAATTAATAAACAAGGTCTCACACGTAGTTGATCCAACTTGGCACGCTTTATCTGCATTTTGGCTTGTTCATATAAAAACTGATCTTGCAAAAACCATGCTTCAGTAACTCTGCAAAGTCAAATTAATTAATTAGCCTATAAATTGACATATAACATGGGAATGCAAGACAAATACCCTCTTCAAATAACTAAAAGATTACCTCTGTCGGTGCAAGTCATCCAAGTGATCATTGTTCCTCTGCAATAACAACAGATTAGTTCTTTCATTGGTACAAAAGAACTAGCTTTATAAATGTTATTTGTGGATGTATTGGAACAAAAATGTCAAAAATTGCAAAAGCCTGTTTTTTGCAGATAAATTTAAAAATAATCAATATATGAGCTTATTATTCACAAGCATACCAAAGAAGAAGAAATCTTCAGATATTTTCTAGCCACTTGCAGCTCACCCAACATATCCTCCAAGATGTCCAGCTTCATAGCAAGATAAAAGAAATGCATAAATTGTAATCATCTTCGTGGGTGTTCTTGGTAACAAAAAGACACAAAAATCAATTAGAATGCTATACACTATCCAAGAAATAATGACCAGAAAGAAACAGCCAACAAACACAGTATACAACACAAATTTTATGTACAGATCTTGCTCTCTCATACTTTCCGTTCACCAGAAAGCTCCATCACAATGAACTTCAAATCCTTCCAAACAATCCACATATGTTTACTACTATACACCCTCAAATCCCTCAGACCCAAAACTAAAATATATGACGTCAGGGTAAAAAGTTTGAGACAAACCCTAAACTAGCATTAAGTAAATCCAAATCTCTGGCCTAAATTTCATAAACAAGTCCTTCAGAAACCATGTGCTCTTGTATAAGTTGTATGCATTATTTCATGAAAAATTTTGAGGGGAAAAACATAAATTTCCATAAGCAAAATAATGATTGGCAATTTGCTTAATCTACTGATATTGCATACTTGATGCAACTGCAAAAGAATGGAAAGAGTTTACCTCTTGCAAAGCAAGTTTATGAATAATTGGAGAAAATACTAATTTTTTGGCATCAGACACTTTAGAGAATATCTGCAAGATGAATATAAGAAATAATAAAAATTGATAGTTCTGGTTTTCATTATAAAAAGTCCTAAAAGAATGTTGTAAAAAGCAAGAGAACATGAAGGAAGTTTCAAGAAAAGAAATATATACATACATCGGACCAGTGCACTGCTGTTCGCTGGCCACCAGTTTCAAGGGATTGATCGATAATTTCTGAAGGATGAGCTAAATGTATCATAGGTTTAGTTGCCATTGAGAAGATAGGACTCTTTTCTGTCCTGCTAATTTTACTGATGTGGCTTTCATCCATGACAAGAGACTGTTCAATTCTCCTTTTCTTTCCAACTAAATCACCTTCAGCTGGCAATGAATCTTGAACAAAAGAGTGATCCAGATGATCCACCTCAGAGGAAGTATTTAGAGGCTGACGGCTTTCCTTGAACTTGATGATTTTCTCTCTTTGTGAAACATCATGGGCATCAGGGTCAGAGGCCTTTTTGGCAAGGTCATTAGAAATTAATGAACTTTGCAGCATGTTAGTTTCTGACCCAGACAAATGGAAGGAAAGGTCACTTAGAGTCACAGCATCATCTGCCTTTCTTGGTGTTGACTCTCTAGCATCATCTAGGCCTGCAAACCCTAAATGTTTTGCATCAACATTGTGTGCCTTAGCTGTGGTCTTTTGAACAGAACTTAGAAGACTGTCTTCCATGTTAATAACAGGGTCACTGCTGCATTTTACTACTGAAATATCAGCCTCCTTTTTTAACATGCCTTCAAGGTCCAGGGGCACATGACCCTTCCGTGACACTCCTAATTGGAAATTATCAAGATCTGGTGCTTCAAGAGTTCTGAATTTTGAAATGTGATTCTTAATAGCTGAAATTCTCTCACCATGTCTTGTGAGTTCTGACTCCAAGGACGAAGGAGGTTGT